ATATTTATGCTGAGTTCGGGTCTGTTCCCCGCGCTCCAAACCACCATTCAACCCTTGCTGCCTTCTCTCCTCTGCGGTCCGCAGCAGCAGGCAGTGCCCGCAGCCCTGCTGCTCTTGGCACAGGAGCTGCTCCTGCACTCGGCTGTCTCTGGGCAGTGCTGCCAGGTTGCCAGGAGCTCCCTCTGTCCCAGGAGCCTGGCCCTGCTCAGGAGCAGAGGAGCAGCTGAACTCGTGAATTTCTTCATCCCTTGTGCTCCCTCCTCCTGGGAAATTTTCTCTCAAATATTCTTAAGTAATCACCTATTTTTTCATCTTCAAAGAGTAAAGGGAGACTGATTTCCAATATTGCAAGTTCTTTCATCAGAGGATAACTATGAAAGTTGGAAATGTCCCATTTTGGAAGCCACAATTCACAACTCTTAGCTATGCAGGATACCCAGAGAGGGATAAGAAGGGAGCTCCCTGACACATGGCGCAAGTGTGGATTCAGGTGACCTATTCTGAGCACCACATGCCTATTCAGAAGCCCCTGGGTTGGAGAGGGATTCAGCTAACTCCCATGGACTCCACAAACACATGGAATGTGGGATTCCCCTTCGCAAGGTAAACATTCACAACACAGACATCTGCTTGCGGGCTCCTTGTCTAAGCTCCTAATAGAATCACTGCAGATGAAGTCACTTGTTCACACAAGAATACCTAGTGACATTGGAAGAGACAAGGGTGGCCCAAGGCATGTGCCTGTGCGTGCTTACTCTGATGGAGGAAGTGTGATACCCGCATCTGTCTGGAGCTTCAGCTGAGTTCAGGTCAGGGATATCCTTGAACATCTCAAATGAGCTGGATGCCTTCTATCCTACTAGACCAGCACTCACAATAAAACTGAGGGACAGGCAGATCCCTTCAGCTCAGAAAGCTGATATATTTCAGTGGAGGCCCTTTACAGAATCGCAAAATGGTTGAGGTTGCAAGGAGCTTTGCAGATTATCTAGTTCAAACCCTTTAGTCTAGAAGTGTCACCTACAGCATGTTGCACAGGATCCTGTCGAGGCAGGTCTGGAATATCTACAGAGAAGGAGACTCTATAACCTTTCTGGGCAACCCACGCCAGTGCTCTGTCACCTTCACAGTCGAGATGTTTTTCCTCAAATTCAGGCAGAACTTCCTGCGCTACAGTTTGCTTTTTGTGCTGTCACTTGTCACCACTGGAAAGAGTCTAGGCCATCTGCTTCTGCTTTTGGCATCCTCCCTCAAATATTTGCACACCCTGATAAGATCCCCTTCTCTTCTCAGCCTTCTCTTCTCCAGGCTAAATCAGGCTCAGTTCTCTCACCTTCTTTTTGTAGGAGAGATGCTCCAGCACCCCGATCAACTTTAGACATAGATAGACATATACTGGCCTCTCTCCAGCAGCTTCATGTCCCTCTTGTACTGGGGAGTCCAGCACTGGGCACAGGACTCAAGGGGTGGCCTCCCCAGGACTTAGCAGAGAGGCAGGATGGCCTCCCTTGTCCTCCTGGCAACAGTCTTCCTACTGCACCCCAGAAGACCACTGGCCTTCTTGGCAGCAAGGGGACATTGCTGGCTCGTAAACAAGCTTCAAGAGGGCTTGAGTGAGAGAAGGCACCTTTCTCTGGTTGCAAGGAACGTTTGGAGATCATCTAGTCAGATGATGGTCAAGTCAATGTTTGTAAGCACCTGGGAGGCCAGTAGCAGGCACATGGCACTGTTCCTGCTTGAGAGGGGGGTCACATTGTCTGTGCTCCTGACTGGACAGCACCAGGCATTAGCAGGTCCATCCATGTCTGTGAGGGTGACCGTGAGCTCTGCTCTTTGCTG